GCTGAACCATGAGATATAATGCAAAACTTTGTAAGGCACTTGAAAGTTTACTTATAAGGAATATTGTGGGCCCTTCAATGCTCCTTCCTTCCTGCTGACTGGAAAGCAGAGATGACAGCTAGAGCTCAAGCAGCCATCCTGGGCCACAAGGCAACAAATGAAGACAGCAGGAGCTCTCGTTGCTGAACACTATGGAACCCCGTCAGCTGCAGACCACCTACGTCAGAACTTTTCAGGTGAGAAATAAATCTGCAATCTTGCTTACTTCTGTAAGTTTTTAAAAATTATATACAGTGAAACAATACTGATACGTTTACATTCTTTTTCAAAGTGTTCACTTTACTGTATTGATTTGAGTGGGTGTTGAAGCTGCAGGAGTGGAAACTAAGGAAGGGACCAAGAATACCTGCTTTTATTTTCCTTAAGCCTCACCATGACTATATGGGTTATCTGGCATTTACACTCAGGAAAGGTTGTAACTACCAGCTGGGTGCACATAAAAAGTGTTTTGAGTGTTGAGTGTGGGAGTGTGAGGGCTAGGGAGAAGTGGAGGTTATCGTCTGGGAAAGTAAACCAACCAACAGGAGATACCAAACATAGGTCACAGGAAGAGTCTGCTGGAAGGGTGAAGGGTGCCCAGGCCCTCTTCTGTGCTTAGGGGAGCCTAGGGGGTAGCAAACACGCTGGGCAACTTCTGAAGGGGGTGCCCGGGGGCCTTCCACCAGAGCAGCCCCATCTTTAAACTATTTTCCAGACTGGGCTTTGAAATAAAAGTGCTGCTGCTAAGAGGGAGAGGGAGAAAAGAAACCTTTTTAAAATTTAAAACCACTGGGGCTGTCCATCTCCCCATTTTCCTGATAGTCAGGAAGGCTGAGAAAGCTGCTCCAAATCACCCGACAAGTGATTTGTGCCATTAGGAGCAGAAGTTGTTCTCCTGAGCTGGGAAGTTCAGGAGCGCCGACACTCCACCAAGAGTCACACGCACTTGGAATCCCACAAAACTGGCATCAAATGGAGACAACTCCAGACTTTCCTGCCGGAGCGGAGTTAACAGGACAATTCAAAAGATTTTGTCGTTCTGAAGATCTAAGCTTCCGTGCAGAGCTAACTCTAGGTGATGAATGGAACGCCTGAACTTATTTCACACAAATGAGGCTTAAAGTCTGGGAGATATAGCTCAACTTCCAGTGCCATCCCCTCCTCAAATCTGTTTCATGCCTCATCTCAAGTCGACTTCATTTTAAAGACACAGCAATAGTTGCACGATTTTAGGTACGTGTTGGGGTTCAGGGTAGGCCACCCCCAAATATGTCACTGTGGCATACTGAATTATTCAGAATTAAAGTTACTTAAGAAACAGCCACAGCAGGGCATTCTGACCTCCTCTGTGCCCCTGAAAGCAGGAAACAAACCTCCCACATGAAAGGTCCCCTCCCTGCACCAGGAGGTCGGGAGACATCGTCATCACAAGAGATGGGGCGTTCAAGGCTGAGAAGGCCGTGTGAGCTAACCTTCCAACCTCCTCACTCACTGGCCACCCCAACTCAAACTTCTTTGTCTTGTCAGTTCTTCACAAATTTGTTTTTTCTTTGTTTCAAAGGTATAAACGCTGGGAATTCCCTGGCAGTCCGGTGGCACTCCCACTACAGGGGGCTCGGGTTCCATCTCTGGTCGGGGAACTAAGATCCCACACGCCGCCAGGTGTGGCCAAAAAAATACAAAAACAAAAACAAAAGGTATAAACACTGCCTCCTTTGGTCACTTCTTTGGGTCTCATATCTTGGGACCCCCATACTCATGAAATAAAATTATTATTTGTTTTTCTTCTATTAATCTCTGTTTTCTTAAAGGCGGTACCCAGGCAAGAACCTAGAAGAGCAGAAGAAAAATTCTTTTTCTTCCCCTACAAATGAAACCACAGCCTATTCAGACACAAAATAAAATCTCTTCTAATTTAATTTTATAGCTAAGATTCCTTGTCTAGCAAAGGAAACAGAAGTCAGCATCTCATTCCAGCCAACATGTTTTAACAGTCCCAGGCAGACTTTCTAGAGAGTCGGTTAGAGGACAGAGGCTCCGCTCTACCTGCCACCAACACACTCAGTGTCGCAGACACAGCGCTGAGCCGTGCCCACCTTTTCCAATTCTCTTCTCCAGAAGTTGTCCACATTCGAAAAGAAAACCGCTCTGGAGGACAACTGGTCTGGGGAGCCCTGTGGGTGCCGGGGCCAGCTGTGCCCACTGTGGTGACGGTGCCCGCCTGCCGGGTATGCCCACCAGCCAGCCAGCGGCGAGCAGCGGCGGCCCCAGCAGGCGTGGAGCCTCCGGCCCCCTGGACGAGATGCTCAGTGCATCAACGCCCACGTACCGCCGCCCCCATTCAGGCTCAGAGCACAGCACTGCTCTCTGGGCTGAGAGCCCCAGGGCCCGCC